AAACATAAAAGTAAAGACAAAGAGGAGGATGAGGATACCGATAAAAATAAAGATGAAGATAGGGGAAGAAAGATTAAAATAAAGGTAATTAAAGAGGAAAGGATATAGGGAGGGACACAGAGACTTAATCTAGCAAGTATTTTGAGATTTTCGGTATTCTGGGGACTTATGGATAAAATAATCGATACTTTTATCGGTTTTGTTATCGTTTTTTTAATCGAAATTTTTATCAATTTTGCTATCGATATTTTCGGAAGTAATCGATATAATGTCGATTTTGTTATCAATATTTATCGATTTTGTTATCAGTATTTATTGTTATTGATATTTATCAATATTGTTGTGAATAATTTTATTGATTTTGTTATCGATATATTTATCGATTTTGTTATTGATTTTGCTATCGATATTTATCGATTTTGTTATAGATATTTATCGATTTTGTTATCGATATTTACTCATTCTGTTATGGATATTTTTATCGATCTGGTTATGGATATTTTTATCGATTTTGTTATGGATGTTTTTATCGATTTTGTTACCGATATTTTTATCGATTTTATTATCGCTATTTATCGATTTTGTTATGGATATTTTTATCGATTTTGTTAGCGGTATTTTTATCGATTTTGTTATGGATATTTTTATCGATATTTTTATGGATATTTTTATCGACTTTATTATCGATATTTTTATCGATTTTGCTATCGGTATTTTTATCAATATTTATCGATTTTGTTATCGATATTTATCGATTTTGTTATCAATATTTATTGTTATTGATAATTTTATTGATTTTGTTATCGATATTTTTATCGATTTGCCTATGTATATTTTTATCAATATTTTTGTCGATTTTGTCATGGCTATGTTTATCGATATTTTTATCGAGTTTCTAATAGATGTTGCTACCAATTTTATTGTCGTTGTATCGAACTTTTTATCGAATTTGTCATTGATTTTGTTATCCATATTTTTATGGGTTTTTTATCGATATTTTGTTGGATGTTACTATCGATTTTGTTATCGATAGAGTATCAAGATAAAAATGAAGATAAAGGAAAACGGAGTAACATAAATGTTATTAGAACGAACAGTGGTAGAAGTAGGTATCTAGATAGTAAAAAGACAAAAAATATAATATAAGCAAAAGCAGATGTATGTATGTTTGTACATATGTATGTATATATATTAGTTATGAGACAAAATAGACATGTATGTAACGTAAGTTTCACTTCTCCAGTGTGGCCCAGGCGCACTTACTTTTTTTGTTGCTTCTGGTATCGAGAGTGTCAAAAACTGTTCTGATTTCTTCACTTTAATCAAAGCGTGACATGTAAAATACAGAAAATAAAAAATTTAAATTGGGAATAATGAAAATTGTTGCAGCTTGCTTTCTTCCATGCTTTTGAAAGTCCAGTAATCAGCGTTTGTGCTGCTGAGTTATGGTCTGATTATGGCAATTTAACGTAACTTACATGCTCTCACTTAAAAATTCTCTTAAATGGATGTTGCTTATAATTGAACAGCCGAAAGTTAACGTACCTTAATGCCGCGTCGAAATCTGCTTCATTTTGATTTTCTAAGTTCTAAATTCCGTTATTTTGCCATAAGCTCTGATCCAATACTTTTCGTATAAAATCCTGTTAAAATGTCAAGCAGCAAAATTACTCTCTGAAGTGAGAGTAAAAAGTGGGTAACAACCAAAAGTACGGGAACAAAAAAAAGCATTATCTGTAAAAACGTCAACCAGAGATCGCTTGACACTTTTCATGATTTTACCAGAAGAAAAAGTTCGGGTAAAATCTTGCAACTTCATTCTTTACACAACTCTCCAAAAATCGCACTCACTTGAAGGATTTTGGAGGAATTTAGAGTACGGGATCATTTTTCCTGTAACTTCCTCCAAGTTCGTATAAAAACCTGTAAGTTCATGGAGTACTGGATCAGAGCTATAATCAGGCTTTTAGGAGAACGTTTCGAAAAGCTGCTATTCAATTGCTTGTTTTGTATGGAAAAAGGTTTCACATGAAAATAGATTTTAACAATTTTGAATTTTCGTAAGAAGAAATTTAAAATATTTGACATTTTCGAGATGAAATAATCTGAAAAAATCTACTATTACCTTGTTTATACCTACGAAAGAACCGCATTGGGTATGTTCAGAAGGCGCAACAGCTCAGTAACTGTTGCGATTGCACCTTCTGAACGCGTTGTTTTGTATTTCTGATCAACTACAGATACGTGTTAGATGATCGTAATACTTTTCTGATCATTTGAGACAACATGTTGTGTGTTTTGAATTTGACAGATAATATATCAAGCCGTTCAGATGACGCATTACTATCACTGATTTTTTTAGCAACGGTTGCGCTCAACTGCTGCGCCTTCTGAACCTACCCATTAACAAAAAAAAAACAATTTTGACCTGCGTCTTTACAGCACACTCGCTGAAACCGTATAGAAAAGTATACAAAATTTGTTGTTTTATTTCAATATTTATTTAATAATTGATTTGTGCAATTGACTGAAATGGAAACGAACAATAATTCAAATTTATATTAATAATAATTCAAATTTAAAACGAGCTGTATAAAGAAAACCAGCATATTTTCACTTCGCGTCAAATGAGTGATGTGTTTATACCTGTTTTCTAACCGATGAACATAAGGCAAAAGAGACGATTTAGCTGGACAAAAATGGAAAATTGCGATGCTATTTGCCATCTATAAAATTACATATTAAAGTTTGACTAACTAAGCGACAGTATTAGTTATGAAGCAAAGTTTTGCATTATGTTACTAGAGTACATACCCACAACCAGTGTTGCCAGAACTTTTCAGGGCGACCGGCTAGATTGGACAAAAAAAACGGCTAAAATGTTTCAACCAGAATTGAATTTTTTTTAAATACATAAACTACAATTAGAAAGACTAGTAAATCCATTGAATTTTTTTTGGTTAATAAAGATTATTTATACGTAGCTAAGCTGTACACCACTTTATTATACCTTTCATGAGCATGGAATGGTATTATAACTTTGGTCCGATGTTTGTAAGTACCAGAACAAAAAGAGATAGACCCATTAAAATGTATACTTATATGATCAGAACGTCGAGCTGAGTTGATTTAGCCATGTCCGTCTGTCCGTCTGTCTGTCTGTCCGTCTGTTTGTATGCAATCTAGTCTCTCAGTTTTCGAGATATCCGTATCAAATTTGGTAGGTGGATGTATTTTTATAATGTATTAATCATTTGTCGGATCCGGAAGAATCGGACCACTATAACATATAGCTCCCATACAACTGATTGTTCAGATATGAGATTTTTCGTTATAACTTCTCCACTTATACAGCTACGAACATGAAATTTTGCAGTACTTGCACCCATTATCCACAGAATACTTACAGTGAAAATTACAAAGATCGGGTCACTATAACCTACAGCTCCCATACAACTGATTGTTCAGATATAAAATTTTTCGTTATAACTCCTCCATTTATATAGCTAGGAACATGAAATTCCGCACTGTTTTCAATAATTATCAACAGAAAACTTACAGTGAAAATTAAAAAGATCGGGTAACTATAACCTATAGCTCCCATACAACTGATTGTTCAGATAAGAGATTTTTCGTTATAATTCATCCATTTATGTAGCTAGGACCATGAAATTTCGCGCTGTTTTCACTCATTATCAACAGAAGACTTACAGTGAAAATAACAAAGATCGGGTCACTATAACCTGCAGACCCCATACAACTGATTGTTCAGATATGAGGTCTTTTATCACAACTTCTCCATTTATGCAGCTAGGAACATGAAATTTCGCACCATTTTCACTCATTATTAACAGAATACTTACAGTGAAAATAACAACGATCGGATGACTACAACATATATCTTCCATACATCTGATTGTTCAGATATGGGATTTTACTGTAAAACTTCTTTATTTGAACAGCTAAAACCGATAAATTTCGTAAGATATTTTATAAATAATAATACAAAGTCTACTGAGAAAATCATCAAAATCTATGCTGTATAAGCTTTATCTCCTATAGCACTGATTGTTCAGATACCAGTTTTTGCCATATATCTCCTTTATGTAGGAAACTAAACCCAATAAATTGTGTTACCGGTTTACATACCGATCACATAGCAGTGAAAATCACTTAGATTGGTGCCATATAAAGTATATCTTCCATATATAAGTATGTAACTCCTCTATCGATGTATGCAGATGTATTCAAAAGCAGTAATCTGTCAAAGTAAAATTCGCAGATGTTCATGAAAAGTATGAAGCCTTCGGCATAGCCGAAGACAGCGCTGCTCTTACTTGTTTTTGTTTAACAAAGGAAACTGTCGTTATACGTAGCTAAGCTTTACATCAGATGTCATGTTTGTATTACTTAAATATAAAAACAGGGATAAATTACAAACTTATGGCGTTTTCTTTTCTATTAAACAATTTTGCTTTTTTATAAATATTGGATCATTTTCAGTAGGTTGCTTTTTGTCCCGCAAAATGGCTATATTAGCTGAAAGTATGGCACTTTTGCTTAGTCGGAGGGCAATATTTTGAGAAATGAACAGGTAAAGCTGTGAAAGCAAAAGGTAGTTTAATTTATTGACATTCGTTGTTGTTGCCGACCACTTCACCTTTAACAAGTTTATGACATTTAACTAAAATCATGCCACCAGATTCACTAGCAGAAAAATTTTTGTTTCTTAAAAAAGTAGAAAAAAAATTTGAAGTTAGTGAAGTTGGATGAAAATACTAAAAGTGTTGCGCGTTTCCAAACTGCCAGAATTCGGTACACCTGAGCAAACGTTCGAATATATAGTTTTTTGCTTTTCCGAGGTAGGGTACGTAGGTTGATAAAAAATTGCTGACGCAAAATATCTTTAAACCTCTGAAAGATGTACCATTATCCGTGGAACAGGAAAGAGGTCGAGTTAAAATGATGCCTGCAACTTGTAACAGTACCAATTTTTGGATTCTCGGAATTTTCTGATAACGATGTGGTGCTGCTAAAAATATATATACAATAATATAAGCACGAAACTATGTATTTGTCACAAGAATTATCCACATAAGATGAAAACTACTGCAGTTTTATTTTATAAAATTTAAAAAGTATGTTTGCACCATGTATTGTCTTCCCAGAGAGTTTTGCTCCACATCGAAATTCGTGCTCTTTTATTTTCTAAGTGTAGCGAATAAAACTTCACACTTAAATTTAAGACATTCATAACAAAAATTTTATGAAGAAAATTCCCGCTGCGTTCTCCCAAATATAAACTGGGACGCAAAATTGAAGCAAGTTTTGCCTATTTTTCTTTAGTTTATTTAATATGTATTATTTTTTATGAATATGTAGCTCATTACTTAACAAACAACATATACTACAAACAGATTTCACACTTAGTGTAAAAATTAGGAAAATTCTGCAAAATTTCAGCAAAACTTGTAACTTTTTAATCTGCTAAAATGACGCGTCCCAGTTTATGTGTATTTGGGTCACTCGCTTAAAACAAAAAACATTGAAATCGGCTCACTTTCTGATTGTTTTTCAATTTTATATAACACAGTCCGACATGAAAATTTTCTCAGAGAAAAGACTAGCCATTTCTAATAGATTTTGGAGCACTAAATTTGTAAAAATAAAAACTTGTATATTTGAATTTTAATAAAATAAGGCGCAGAGCAAAATCGGCTAAAAACGGCTAATTTTTTTTTGCAAAACGGCTAACAAATCGGTTGCCGGCTAAATCGAATTTTTTCCGGCTGTTTGCTGACGCAACCGGCTAAATCTAGCCGGAAAACGGCTAAAATGGCAACGCTGCCCACAACTTGTCGAATGCTTATCGTGCGCATAGGCACCTCAATCAGTCATACGCGGTAGCCCTGTATTAATTTATAGTATGTGAGGATGCAACTTTTTATACCCGAGCGCACTTGTGCACAAGGGTATTATAACTTTGTTCACATAACGGTTGTTTGTAACAGGCAAAACGAATCGAGATAGATATAGACAAATGTATACATAAATGATGAAAAGAGAAATCGATTAAGCGGTGACTGTCTGTGTCCGTCCGTCTGTGCACACGATAACTCGAGTAAAAATTAAGATATCTTAACGAAACTTGGTACGTGTACTTCTTTTGGTGGTAGGACGGATGGTATTGAAAATGGGCAAGATCGGACAATAACCATAACCACGCCTACCTCCCATATAACGGTAATTTTCAGAAATACGAAAACTGCGATATTTTAGTAACAACTGAAGATTATTCACTCAAAATTGATATTTGCAATAAGTTTTAGACGGAAAATAAGAATATTATAACTTTTTGGAAAATGGGCGTAGCACCGCCCACTTATGATCACATATATGTATCTCGGTAACCGTTCTACCAATTTGTACCAAACTCGGTATGGTTATTGTGCTTGTCACATAAGAGCAAACGATTGAAAATTATTGAAATTGGACTAAAATTGAGATTGATTTTTATATAACGGTAAATTTCAGATATGCTTGAAACTTCAATATTTCGAAATTTAAGGACACTAATTTACTCAAAATTGATACACCCCGGCTTACCATGTAGCGATAGCTTTCGGAAAGGTGAAAATCATATATTTAATACTTGCGCCGGGTATTTAATGTTCGGCTCCGCCCGAAATTAGGCTTTCTTACTTTTTAAAATTATTTTTATATTCAAGATGGACTATTTGCAAGTAAGTTTTAATTTTTTCATTAGTTTTAAAATTGTAGCTATTTAAAAATTTCTATACTATTAACTAGAAAATAGTTATTCCGTAGATGATAAAAAAGTACCCCTTAAAAATACCCCATTTTAGAAAGCCCTCACAAAAATTTAGGAGTATTTGTATTTTGTTTACAGCTACAAAATAATCTATTCGCATCAGCTGATGGACAAATAAAAAATTTAAAAATACAAAAGCGAAACGATGAATCCCACAATTTCTAATTTGCTAATTGTCCAAGGTCAACCTGTACAATATTTTTCTGTTACGGTTAATTATTTCATGTAAATATCAAAATGTAAACATCATGTTCCATATCAAACAATTCTTCGCAGGGGTCGGTAAATTTACATTTTATTAATGCTGTTATTTTTGCTTAAATGGTTTTAAACCATCATAGTTAAAATATTGATTTCCCACACCCCAAATCAATGTTATTAGTTCATTATTTTTGTCCAGCGAAATCGTCACTTTTGCCTTGTGTGCGATGTGAGAAATAAAAAACCGATTTGAAATCAAATTCAATACACTTTTGAAATTCAGACCGTATTGAAATTTAGTTTATGCATCCGTTGGGAATCACAGCGAAGTGGATCAAAACGCTTTATGTGTGTATGTTTAAAAATCGATTTTTTCATATTCCTTTTTTAAATACCCCTACAATAAATGAATTCAATTTACATATGTATTTGTTGCGCTGTCATGTTTGCTTTTATTCTGCACGCGCTACTGATTCAGTTTATCTTTATATACTTACATATTGCTTAGCTGAAACATAAAATATTTTATTATAGGCTTTTATTGTATTTACCTTTTTGTGATGTAGGTCTGGTTGTGATGTCCGCCCCTATTGAGGCTGTGTACCGTAGCGTATTGATAAGCAAAATTCCAGGGATGTGGGCTGGCAAGTCTTATCCCAGCCTAAAGCCACTGGGGAGCTATATTACTGATTTTCTGCAACGTTTGGACTTTTTGCAGGTAAGTTTGAATTACCACGAATAACAAATGATTGTTGCTAAGCAGTTCTTAACGTGTTCAAATATGGGTGGCGTTGAACGGAGAGAGTTTTGTTTAGATATGCGGTGAGTGTTAGAGTAAGTAGGTCATTGATTACATAGTATGTGGCAGAGTTGGGGGTAGTGCTATGAATTTTGAAGTCACTACGAAGAAATTATATTTTTCCCTATTTAACACAAGGTTAGTGAAAGTGCCACTAAAATTATATTGATAGTGCTACTTTGTTTCAAAATAACTAAATTGTGGTAGTGAATAAATGTGCTCTACACTCAAATAGTGCAATATTTAAACAGTCACTATAAAGAAATAAATTACTCGTAAAAATATTTTCACTAAATTCTCAAAAAATTAATGCAGACAAAATTTCTTGAGATCGATTCGTGCGATCTGGTTAATCCTTCTCTTCGTATGTTTGTGATTAACGATTAGGGTGATTGACTCGGTTTTCCAAACCAGTTTCCACCGTTTGGATATCAATAGGTAGGTTTTCTAAATCTTGAGTTTTCGAATATCGAATAAACCGGATGTTTTCTTATCGAACAAACCGATTTATTTTCAAAGCTTTTTCCAGTATATCATATTCAGGGCCGAAAAAAATAAGCGCGAAGAATTAAATATAGATATAGATAATAAAAATATTAAATAAACGCACTAAAACATTGGTAAATATGATAGCAAATATGCTGGAAGAAAAAATAAAAAAGTAGGTACTGTACTGTAATGTTTTGTTTTTATTCAGTTCATTTGAGGGATTAAAAAAGCACAATCGACAATGGAAGGTGTTGCTTGATATTTTTAAATAATTAAGATCTGCGCTGGTCATTTAAGAGCGTTGAATAGACGAGAAAGGGAAGGGCCACTAATGTGGCTGGACCGAATTTCAAATCAAATCCTGTGGTATTAGTGCACCGATATACTTGCCACTTTTTTACTATTATGTATTAAAAATTATGGGGTTTATATTACATAAAGATTTGGAACCTTCAATTCTTTTCAAACTGGGTTTAATTTTTTGAAATATTGACACAAAATTCTTGGAAACACGTAAACTTAATGTTTGGTTATAGATTAGGGCCCTGTATACCGTTTCTCTAGATCAGGTCATTTTCGCAAGATATTTTCATTTTAACTTTGCATTGGGAATGAAAAAAATGCAACGTTTAACAGGGCAAACATTTAAAAAGGAAACATTTTTTTTTTTAATTCTTTTGATTTGTGATAAATGAAAATGCAAATGCGTACCAATTTCTTTAGAAAATGTTTCCATCCTAATTTATGTTTTCATTAAAAGTGCACACATGGCGTATGAGTACGTACGGTGACCTTATTAACCAACGTAAAATAAAGGACATTTTTTCAAAATGATTTGGGAATACGCACATACATAACACCTGTATGATAAAAGTACTTTACCAATTTCGTAATTTAAATCAAATATTTACCAGTTAAGTATGTTATGTAATTGTACAAGTTTCCCTGCTGTAGCGAAAAATAAAGCCAAACCCTTTTCAAGGACTTCGCCAAAATACGTTGACCGTAATTTATTCTGCGCGACCACAGTGGTTCAAAATTGCCTTAATATTTCAACCAATTTTTACTAAAAACCAAAAACGTATATTTATTTTGGTGAACATTTTTTTATAACATTTCAAAATTTTTTTTTGCGTAAATTTTTTCGTTTTGGGAGATCCTTACATTTGTTTTCAACTAGGTTTTTGTTATGTGACATTTATTAACTGGAACAGGAGAATACATTTTCTTCAAAATTGCAACTTTTTCTGCATTTTGCACTAAAAAATTTAATATAATCAAATAAAAATTCACAAATTAGGCTCAACTGGTCTCTTGTAAATATTATAAGCTTTTATAAAAAAAATTATCAAACCAAGTGAAAAATTAAGGCTCCAGTGAGTAAGGCTTTATTGTTCGCTTTCAGTGAAACTGGAAACTCAGCGTGCAACACGATTCTGGGCACAACTTTCCTTTTGCTTTATAGATTGTACAAAGATTACCGACTAAATAGAACCCTTAAGTGGAGTGTGAAACAAACTGGCGAAGGTTTTCATTATATTTTATAAGGGACATTTTTATTTTTCATATTCTGTGTTTAAAAACTTACTTCTCAAAAATGCAGAGCTGATATAAAGGACAGTCTAAGAAATAAAGCACAAAAAGCGTCCTTTATTTTGAAAAAATTTTAAAGGACAGGGGGTAAAAATAAAGGACTATCCTTTAAAATAAAGGACGGATGGTCACCGTACGTATGAGTAACATTCTTTCCTAGTCTTATTTCTTAAAAAAGAAATTATTACGCACTTTCATTTGACCATTTACAACTTTATTTATCAATCAATTTTTTCCTTTATAGCTTGATGTTTTTTTAAAAGAACATACTTTAACAAAAAATAAAAGAATTTACGAAAATCATTTAGTTTTAATTTGTTTCCCTTTTATTTACCTATATTTATTTACCTCGTAAATGAAACGGTTTTCCATACAAAATTAAGTAAGTTTACTTGGTTTACATTGTCACGAGGCATTTACGCGGTTAGATGAATTGACCTATTATGTATCACGAGCGATAGGCAACAAGAACGATTCATTTATAGAGGAACGCTTCAAAAATTTGTCCGGCGGTATCATTCTAGCCGGTTTAAACGCAACCGAGTCGATTGCAACGTAATCGATGAAAAGCAAGACGAAGACGACCGATAGAGTAATAAAATCGCAATCGGAGACGTCGTGGTCTGCAGACGAATCGTTCGTGTTGCCAATCGTTCGTGATACATAATAAGGAAGTAGGTTTACGTCTTTCGGTGATTCTTGTATAATTTTAGTGTCCCTGCAGTGTTATTTTTAATCTCTTCAATGATACCAATGCCTTCCCGTAGAGACAAACCTTTGGTTTTGATTACACTGGTTTACAGCAAAAATGTTCAATGGATGCCGCTATCCAATTCCTATAAAGAATTGCTCGCTGATTCCGAGAATCGACTTAATTTTTATTCTATGGATAAGTTTTCAAAATATTTTCAATTTACCGCTTTTCAGCTTAAAACAAAAGGTGGTTACACTTAATCACATATATCTTACGATCTATTGAACAATCTTAATATGAAATACGGCAAATCAAAGCTAACTAAATTCTAGATTGACCGTATATACATCACTTTTCGATAGATCTGATACATAGTTTCTGACAAATTAATTAATCATTCCAGACTTTTTTTTATGTAAATATGCAAAAAACACTTTAACAAAAGAAAAATTCAAAAAATTGCAGGTTCTGTGTCAAATTTGTGCTAACGCCCGTTCTGTTACAAAAAAATCAAGTTACTAATGAATAAAATCGATGGATCAATAAAGAAAAATAAATAAATAAATAAAATAAATTTTTTTTTTGTATGAAATATGAGCATAAAAGCGTACGAGTACGGCGACCCTCCGTCTTGTATTATACGGGACAGTCCTCTTTTTGTGACCATTGTCCTGGTAATTTATTTATTTTATACGGGACGCCAAATGTTCTGTATTTCATTTAACGTCCTTTATTTGCCCCGTGTTCGGTGTTGGGTATTTTGACGCCTTAACAGCTCATTAAAATTGCATGCCTTTGAACCAGTTTTAAGTGATGTTGGTATATGATCGTAATTTTCTCCATAAACAGCTATTATTTTCTAATCTGAGTGCCTGTGATTCGATTCGAGGAATACATACAGTGACCAAAATATAAATGAGGAACCGACATCTTAGCAAGGTTTGGCTATTTATCTTTAGTTTATTTAATGTTTATTATTTTTTATGAAAGTAAAGCTCTTTTCATAACAAAAACCCATATAAATTCAAATTTCTGACTTTGTGCAAAAAACTATAAAAATTAATTCTGCAATGTTTCACCAAAATTTAAAACTTTTTAATTAGAATGTTTAGAAAAAAATTGGTTTGCAGTTTTGTAGCTCCTTAAAATTTAGTATAATAAAGTGCGAGTGGAAAGTGCTGCTCATTTGCTTCTCCCTTAAAAAAAAATGGTCGAACATAGATACATACTTACTTTTTAAGAAAAACTGCGTTACACCGTCAACAAAAAAAAGTGCCAAAAATGTCTTAGCGATATCAAAATTAAACTTTATTATACTAAAATTTAACGAATTTGCAAAATTATTTTTTGTCCCATATTCGGATCCCATGAATATGGTCACCGTACATATGAGTAACATTATTTCCTGCTCATTTCTCATACAAAAGATTTTTGGGCATTTTCATTTGACCGCTCATTACTTCTTTATTTATCAATCGATTTGCTTCATTATTTAGTACCTTCATTTTTTTTAAGAACAGGCTTAAGCCCAACTGCAAGAATTTGACACAGAACCTGTTAGTTTTCTAATTTTTCTGCTGTTAAAATATTATTTTTTCCATCAAAAGAAACTGGAGTGATTAATTAATTTGTCCGAAACTATCAGTCCTATCGGACTGTATAGACGGTTTATCGAAAATTTTGGTAGCTTTCATTTGCCGCATTTCATTGTAGGTTTGTTAAATTGGTTCATGAGATATAAGTTTGTTTTAAGCTGAATACCGGTAAATTGAAAATATCTCGAAAACGTATCCAAAGAATAAAAAATTAGCTCGATTTTTGGAATCAGCGGGCGATTCTTTATACAAATTGGATAGTGGCGTTCGTTTAGATTGACGAATAACATCGGAATCTTCAACGCTGGAAATTAGAAAATTGTCGAAAATCTAAGGATAATCGTAACCAGTAGTAGCATTCCTTTTTAAAGTTTTAAGCGTTGTACGCAGATCCCAAGATCTAAAAAAACTCCATACAAAATCATGCTTAAGAAATGCTTAAGAAAAATTTAATAATCGACATTTTCTTAATCAGTACGGAGTTCTTAAGCAATTTGCTAAGCTTTCTATTTACTAAAGGTTTTTTTTTAATTTTTTTGTGAACAAAGAGCTCTAGGCATTATTTCATTATTTCGCGAGGAAGGAATGAGACAGCAGGCTGTGAAATCTCATATGTCAAAATTCCACTATATAATTACAGTTTTTTTCTATACCGTTTCCTTAAGAGATGCGTCCTAAGCTTTATACCTTAAATCATACTGGTAAATCAAGGAAACTCATATTTCTTACCCACCTAGGACTAATTTTGGACTCATATATTCTGAACGCTCAGAATATGTTTGCGGGGCTACTACATAGAATAAAGTGCCATATGAAAACAGGGGCGGTTCAGGGAATTACACAAACAAACATATCATGTTTCCTTAAAGCCGTATGCATACGAAAGGGATTTTTTTAACACTTTTCAACCTTTGTTGCCTGTCGAAATGCTTCACAGGCAATTTCTCAGGTGATGTTGTATCTTCTTCTTCTTCTTCTTATTTGGCGCTGTAACCGCCTAAGCGA